AATTTAGAGGGTTGGGGGGGGGGGGGCATCCTTAAAAACAAATTGTGGTTGGTCATTTAACAGTCAGACGGTCTATTGTCTAAGAGGAAATTTCTTGGCTAGAATAATTTGCAAAGTGGACTAGACTTGAACTTATAGTTAAAAATCTTTATATGCAAGACTACTGTAAGCTAAAGTTTGCAACTCATGTGAAAACGTAATGTAGAAGCTACGTTAATGAGATGTCAGAATAAGTTAGCTGGAATAAGTTGCAAAGTGGACCAGACTTAATACCGATAGTTAAAAATCTTGGTTTGCAAGACTACTGTATGCAAAATATAACAAGTTTATATGCAAAATATAACAAAATTTAACAAGTTTTACCAAGAAATGCAGAAGCTACAGAGCAATGTTAATGAGATGTCAGAATAAGTCATAAAGTGGACCAGACCTAATGCCGATGGTTAAAATCTTGAAACGAAAACTAAACGAAACTATCAATCAATGTTAATGAGACATCAGAATAAGTTGACTGGAATTAGTTGCAAAGTAGACTAAACTTTATGTCGATAGTTAAAAATCTTGGTATGCAAGACTACTGTAGGTGAAAATAGCAATTAATGTGGAAGCATAACAGATTTGCCAAGAAATGAGATGTGAGAATACGTTACAAAGTGGACCAGGCTTAATGCTGATGGTTAATAATCTTGGTACTAAGGACTACCGTAGGCGAAAGATGGCGACCTATACAGAAACTTAACAGTTCTACCAAGAAATGTAAAAGCTACAGAGCAACATTAATGAGTGGTCTGAATAAGATGGCTGGAATAAGTTGCAATGTGGACTAGACTTTATGTAGATAGTTTAAACTCTTGGTACGTAAGACTGTGGTAGGTTAAAGATGGCAACTCATGTGGAAACGTAACAGTTTTACCAAGAAATGAGACCTCAGAATAAGATGCAAAGTGGACCAGGCTTAATGCCGATGGTTAATAATCTTGGTACTCAGGACTACTGTAGGCAAAAGATAGCAACCCATGCAGAAACATAATATTTTTTACTAAGAAACGTAGAAGCTACAGAGTAACTTTAATGAGAAGTCAGGGTCTCAGTCAATGTAAAGACTCCCATGGTTCAATACTCTCAGGCCTCATTGCAATCAATAGGATGCAGGGTAATAAATAGAACTGATTAGCCTACCTGCTTGTTGGCTTTGAGCACAAGGCGCAAGGTTGCAATCTGCTCCCTCTTTGTGCTCAGGAGGGACTTGAGCTTGAGAATCTCCTCCATGCAGGCCTCCTTGTCCTTGTCCATCAGTGGGGCAAGTTCACTGGCGGCCGCTCTCTGGCAGGACAGCTGGAGTGAGTGGTCCACTGCCTTCTGCAAGTGCTTGATCTGGTCACGGATGATGGCGTTGAGGTGGTGGATGTTGGTGGGTTCACGGCGGAGGTCGGAACCAGTGGCTGACTCGGGTGCTGGAGATGATGATGAAGACGAGGAAGAGGCACTAACGACGGGTGAACCCAGTGGTGTACGGACCGGGCTCTGCTCAGCAGGGAGAGGTTCTTTGGATGGTGAGTTCGACGGGCTACGAGACTCGGTGGACGTTGCAGCGTTAATCGCCGCTAAACGGCGTGCGAGCCGTGGGGTCAACAGCACACGGTAGTCGTCCTGCCCCTTGTGGCCAGTGGTGGAAATGCGCGTCGGGGTCCGGCCCTGCCGGTAATAGTCCAGCGTAACACGGTTGGGTGTCTCATTGTTGCACAGGCAGACGTGGTGGTAAAGTTGCGCTAATTCCTCGCTGAATGTCGCCAACTCTTCTTGGGCGGTTCCCAGGATTCTCTGTGTCTCCAAGCCCGTGTTATTGGCTGCCCGCAGCTCACGTTCCAGATTCACCGCCTTCTCCCGGCTTTCCCTGCAGCTGCGCTCCAGCTGTGCCACTTGTGTCTCCAGCACTCGCAGCTGCACCTTGCCCTGCTCCTCCACCCAAGCTCTTGCCTCCACGTACTCATTATATCTATCCTTCACCTCTTTAAGCTCCGCCTTCAGCCCTACCACCTCCGTCACAGCCACCCTGTATTTACATTGCAGCAATTCCAGACTCGGCCCCTCCTGGCCACCAGGGACGCATGTTGCCTCCTCTTCTTCGTCCTCCTCTTCCTCCTTGTTTTCCTTACTGCTGTGCTGGCGGCGGAGTTTCCGGAATCGCTCGCCCAAGTGATTGGCCTTCTTGTGCTGCTCCGTCAGCGCCCCCTGTGTGTGACGGAGCAAAGCCTGTGATTCCTGCAAGCTGTTGAGCAAAGACGCTTTTTCACGTTCCACCTGCAGCACATAAACAAGCCATCTAATGAGTTTACATGCAAGTCGGGCTGGTGTATGCAGGTTAGTCCTGATGCTGGTGTAGATGATAAACCATCATAACCATACAAAACATCAGTGAAATCTAGCTGGTGAGACTGGTCAACCAGCAAGGTCTTGCTTATTTAACCAACAGATATCACCATACTGTCCTCAAGTGATTAATCACAGTAGATTAAGACAATTGTTTTGTAGTACAAGTTTTCTGAAAGGTTATGTTTAAATGAAGCCATTGGATGAAGCCAGGTTCAAAACGCTTGTTTCATTTGTTTGACATATTACCGTTAGTTTTTCATTGTAATTGAAATCTACAACTGCAAATAGATAAATAAAATATGTAATAAAACAAACACTTAAATGTGTATTTTGAATATTTTCTTGCACTAGTCGGAAATAAGACAAAATAGCCGAATGGTTTTGCCTGTAGTGTCTTGGCTTAAACTAATGCATGCAAAGGAGCATTTTATTGCTCAGGAGACTTAATGTAGATATGCTTATTTTAATCAACCCTGTCTCATTTGTTTCTCCTAGAATTAATTTAAAAGCAGGTCACACATGAACGGCGATTTCATTGTTTAACATGGATGCAAAGTTCATATGTATATGACTCAAATTAACTTGCACTAGGAACAGTGATCTCTTGTGAGAGGAAGGATATAAATAAGCCAGTAGCATGGCCCATTAGTGTGTATGGTGGTCTCATATTTCATCCCACGACACTGCAGCATCCAGTTGTAAACAGAACAACGCCTAAACCAATGCAGCAGTCGTTTCTCACTATGTAGGATCTTGAGCATGAAAGATAAGTTTAAAAAGCTTAAAAATATGGGAATTAAGAGAAAAAACAACCCAAAGATATATAAAAGAAATATTAAAGGGGTAAATTTATTATACCCTCGGGGCCGGCAACATAAAGCTTTGCTGTATAAAAATGAATGCATACTGATAGAAATGTTTATATATTCATTATATGGGTGTAGCTAGCATAAGCTCTGCCCCTTCATACTCACCTGCTGAAGCTGTTGTCTTAGTTTCAAGATTTCAGGGCCACTGAGCTCACTAAAGAGGTCAGGGGTCAAAATTTCAATCTTTCTCAAACCCAATGGCCTGAAGTCTCCATTCATTCGGCTGAAAACTGAACCCGTTGCACCCTGAAGCAGATGCCCATTGCACTTGCCACCGTCCTCGCTGCTGGGCGATGTAGCGGCTGTTGGGGTGGCACTGCCACTAGGTGGCGCTGAGGTCAGGGCAATCAGATGGGCACAGCCTGCGCTGAAACCCCCGTCACACACAGTTAGATGATGTGCTAATTCCTTGCGCAAAGTGTTCTTCTGTTCTCGCTCGCTTTTCAGAGAATCCAAAGCCTCTTCCAATTGGCTCTCGGAGATGTCCTTCAGGCACAGTGCATCTTCTAATTGGCTGTTAAGCAAGGCTGTTTCCTCCTCCAGAACTTTGATTTCATGCTTCAAGCCTTCATACTCCACCTGAAAGAACAGAGAATAACCATTTGTTTTGATTCTGGAAATATCTGAGACTGTTTCTAAGAAACCTGCCACAAACAAATATATGATGCTTAAATGTCTTGGTTTTACGCCTAGTTTTGAGAATATATTTTAACATTTAAAGTAATATAATTGAGTGTATTTATGCCATCTGTGACTTAATGGTCAGAAGTTATTTAAATATCAATTAAAAAATATGTTTAATATAAAATAAAAATATACATACAGTACTTATTAGGTTTATAAATATGTATAAATATAAATTAAATTTATAGTAATTAATTGGTCAGAAGATATTTGCACAATAAACAAATTGAAATTGTAGCCTATAGTTTGTTCAATTACATTTAATTAATGTTTATTTGATTTCAAGTAACAAAAATGTTTTCTAATGTTTTAATAAATAATAATAATTGTACATAATGATTTTATGGTTTTAATTTTAGCTTTAGTTTAAATAACTATAATAACCCTGGTGTTTTGTTGATGTCTGTGTGTTTTTCTATCTAATATTAAAATTGTATTAGTTCAAAAGCAAAGCTGTAAACTGCAGGAGACACTGATTTGGTGACCTCACAATACGAGGTGAAGTTCAGGCAATATCGTTCATAATCTGGAAGGTGTGAGAGGAATACATGACAACAGTGATCTCGCATAAGACACTGAGAAAATCAATGCAGCGCTCAGCCGAGAGATAGTGTGAAAAATCAATTAGGAGGTGTAGAGGAGCTCAACGCTTCAGGTATGAGGGATGACAGAAGAAATAACAGACTTATGGACAGTGCATCATGGGACAGAACTGATAACAGCGTTCAATAGCATGATAGGAGGCAGAATGACCGTAGCATTTGCTGAATGTCCAGTTTACTGTGTGAGAGAGCGTCACAGTCGCTCACTTTAATGGAGAGAGAGCCGAATGAGGCTTATTATGCGCTCAGAGGGAAGTATGTTCTCCCTGCATGGATGGAGAGCGATGGAGCCTTTTAAACAGACGCCACTGGGGTTTTCCATTAGCTGGAAATTTAATCAAACTCTCCCTGGTCAGTCAGTCCTGCTGTGCTGGGAAACTCTATGCTTTTTACACTCTGATGAGATCAGAGTTGTGGTTGAACTCTTGAAGTAGTTAGTTGGCTTTGTTAAATCAAGAATCACTATTACTATTGCTCAAACCATTTTAACCAACATCTAACTCTAGGTATTACTAACTTTGAGACCAAATTTTCCCTTGAGAGGATCTATGAAAACCATGCAAATCTCTTATTATTGGACAACATAGTGTGACGATAATTCCAGGATGTGGCGAAGGTTGTAAAGTTAAGCTAGTTATTTAAGAAAATAAAGGTCAAAACTAGCTTAATAATAAAAATAATGACAATATTATACAGTTTTATCAAGAAAATCTGCAACAATTTACAAGGTCTCATTAGTTAATGTATTAGCTGAAATAACATGAACTAACAATCAGCAATATATTTTATTATATCATTATATAATTAATGTATTAATTTTTGTTAACATTTAATAATAACAATAAAAATACTTTAAAATACTTAAAATAAAAATAGAATTGTTCATTGTTTGTTCATGTTAGTTCATAGTGCATTAATTAATGTTAACAGATTAGTTATTATCATTAGCTAAAACGAAAACTAAAACCATAAACAAATTTACTTTCTTCAAAAAACAAACAAAAAATTAACTGACATAAAATAAAAAATACATTAAAATAAAATAAAAGAGAATAATACATTTAAATTAAATAAAATCAATTAAAATAAAAAAAACTAAACTTAATAAAACTATAACTTAAAAAAAAAACTAATAAAAATGACAAAAACACACAAGGACATTTACACACACAACTTTTAAATGAAAATTAAAAAAATATATATAATTCAAAATGTAAAAGTAAAATAAAATGCCCAATATTAACACACAAAGTCTATCAATGATACTATACTTAAAATGTCTTAGTAATTGTTTAAATTTACATTAAGATTAGGAAAATATTATTTCATGTTAACTAATGTAGTTTTTGTAAACCTTTTTGTAAAGTGTTACCAGAAAATCATATCTGAGGAGGTAGTGAACACCCTAGCAACCATCCAGAACAGCTTAGCAACCAAATAACAACACCCTGGCAACCATTCATAACATCCTTGCATCATGGCAACCTGTTTTATACAGATAAACACCACACTAATTAATTAAAAATCTAGTTAGAAATGACTCTAACCGTATAGCTGTGATGTTAAATGCTTTGCAGCAGTGAATTATGGGAAGACTCACCATATGTGATTGGGACAAGGACACAGAAGACAAAATATAGACTATGTCGAGCGGGCATTTCTGTGACGTCCTCAGGTGTCTCGTGAGACTATATTTAGTCAATTCAGTAACATGGTGTGACTCTTCCATCATGTGATATAATGAGTGACACACTGGGCCTTTATCACAGGACTCTTATCACGCTTTATTCATCCCACAAATCAGTAACTTGATTAAGACCTTGTGATGTGGCATAATCACAAATTAAATAGATGGTTGTTGATCATGGCAACGATTTTATCATGGCAGCGGGTCAGTAATCTTTACAGGGTTGAAAGGTTGAACGTTTTGGCTGATCCAAGACCAGCTTTGGCTCTTACCAAAAGCATTTGTTCGATAATAACATGCATTACATCACAGCCATCAGGTCTAATCAAGCACAATATCATGTTCATCTTTCTTTATAAAAAAATGAATGTCATCCAGTTATTCTTTACATATTCTGATGTAAGATTCTCTTCTGCCAACAACAGTCTGTTGATAATATTTCTATGTGCAATAATATTTCATACTGATATACCATACTCAAGCATCGAAATCGTGACGATCATGTCTGTGCTTCTTTGACTGGATTTCTTTAAAAAGCTTTCAGATGTACTCACTGAAAGTGAGGACACACTATACCAGTGCTGTTATCGTTAACAATGTGAAACTATTAATTAAATAAGGAATAATTGATGATGGGCCGTTGAATTATTAGAAAATAATGCTTTGCGTCGTGGCTGCATCACCACCATGGGCATTATTTTCGAATCAAGACATTGCTCAGATGACGTATTTCAAGACATCCATCAGGTTTTTGTCCTTAAAACGCTCTTGTGTGTAGGATTAATTTCTTACGCATCTCATCTAGCGGTCAACGATATATCGGCCGATATTTGTCATTTTTCAAATATCGGCATCGGGCGACAAGTTTTTCTGTTTGGCCGATGTGTTCGAGGCGGGACTTTTATTTTGACGACACTGAGAACGGCAGCGCCTGCACACACAGCGCTCATGCAGTTCTCTCTCTTCATTCGGTGCGTTCCAAACGGGATATATCGCCCTCTGAAGGGCACTTCGGAGTGAAAACAATCATGGCCGCCATATTGAAGGGTCGTTCCAAACCGAAGTGCTCAAAACTGGCCACTTCAAAGGGCTCTTCGGAATTAAGGATTTCGAAGGGTACAACTGATGGACACTTCGGGCTCCCATGATCCTTTGCGCAGATTCTTTGCATGATGACGGCACCTCCATGTGGGCACGAGATGATGACGCAGAAGGGCACTTCAAGAAACAGTTGTTTGGTCCCCTACACCCTTCAACCCTTCGAAGCTCTCACTCCGGAGGGTAAACCCTTTGAAGGGATTAGGGCATAGGGATGAGCCCTTCCGAATGGAACGCAGGGAGAGTTTGCTGTCGCCGTTTAACCATGGCGACATGGCATGTGGTTTGGACGGAAGCGATGGAGGCTACACAGTTCCGGGTTTGGGGGGTTCCACGTGTTTATTTCGCACATAATGTGAGCAGTCAAGTTGCATCTCGACGAATGGACCGTATAGTGTGAGCACATAAATCCTGAGCTTTTGCTTGACCTCGCATGCGATTTACTTGTGAGAGTTGGTATTTAACAAAAACGTTGCGGAAATCGCACAGTGTATGCCCGGCTTAAGAAATCAGCATCGGCCGTCAAAAAAACATCATACTTACTCTAATTTTTGTTTGAATTGTTTCAAGTAAAGTGAACTTCGACAGATCTCTCCAGCTGAGTGCATGAAACCAAACACACACACACACACAGACTGAAAATCACCCAGGAGATTCTCTTTCTTCGCACAGACAAAGCTGAAGCACAGCAGCCCTCCCTCTCTCCCTCCATCTGTCTGTCTCTCTCTCCACATTCAGCGCAGCGCACATGTCCCATGATCCCATCTATCTATCTGTCTGTCTGTCTGTCTAGTTTGAACAGTGTCAGTGGGTTTTTCAGATGTCTGCTGGCGCTGTGAGAGGCAGGCGGTAAGCTGAGCCTTATAATTTTCTGTAGAGAGCTCCACACAGACACTCAGATCGATATGAAGGCCCGTGGGCCGCAGTGAACCTTTATATGCGACCCACTCTGCAGCAGAGCTCCAAAGCAGCTCAAAGTCAGTTTATTTCTGTACAGGAATTAGATCTGCAACAGAAACATGATGACTCTTAGATGCATATTGCTCGGTGTTTGTCAGACAGAGCTGGTGGAAACGATGCCTCCATGTCTGGCATGGTGTTTTTTTGTTGTATGATACAAAATAATCAGCATTTATCAGCTACTGACAGCTTTGCCATTGGCTGAATTTGTGAAAGTGATCCTGTATACTGTATATATTTGAATTTCTGTATATGATCAACAACAGTTAACATATCATATTTGAATCAGCGAGAGCCAATAAAATAAGCAGTTATGCTTAACAAAAACTTACCAACTTGTCCAAGTTAAAATTCATCACAAAATTAAAAGAAGAAAAAAAAAAAGACTAAATTAACTATATTGATGAAAGGAAGTGAAGCATATTTTCATACTGTGAGCTTTTCATGAATTATAAGCATATTTAACTAATATTAAATATACATAAAAAATAGATTTCATTTTTATTAAATAATAAAGATTGGCAAAGATATTTAAATATATTGTTTAAATTATTTACACTGTATTACAATAATGACACCTTTGAGCATAAACAGAATTAAAAACTATAAAAAATAAAAAATAAACTTACATGTAAAATGACTGGGCACATTTGGAGAGTTTAAATGTGATTCTAATGAAGATAATGTTAAATTTAAATTGCAAAGAAAATTTAATATATAAATTATATATTTAATTATATAAAAATATAAAAATGTATGTAAATATATTTTATAGATTATATTTTAATATATAATAGATTGATATATTGCTTAAATTATTTAAATTGAATTAAAGTAATGACATCTTTAAAAATAAAGACAATTTACAAAATATATGTGATTGCATGAAAATAATGTAAAATTTAAATCTTGCAAAAAAAAAAATCTCCTTGGCCCTAAAATATGCTTTGTTTTCTTTATGCAAATTAATTTAACATTGTCTTTACTCATGATTTTAGTGTTAAATGTGACCTGGATGTGCAAGATTCACCCAGGTACTTTTTTTAATGAAGTCAAGTGCATGACATCACTCATCACGTGAATTATGCAGCAAATGTTTCTCTGTGCATATTATACAACCTGATGTTCACATGTGTGCCCCTAAGTGCCTGGATCTGTCCTATCCATAATTCATAACTCAATGTCTCCAAGCTCTGGCCCGAGCACTTCAGGAACATGGCATGAAGAGATCCGTCACTGGATAATTTCAAAACAAAGCGCCTTTTTGTCTTCATTCAACACTATATCTATTGTTTCATCACTTCATATCATGGTTTGCCCATGGTTATTTTGGATACATATTCTAAAATCTCGTCCACGCGAGGAAAATCTGCACACATTCACACTTGAGCTGCATTAAAGCATCTCTACATATGACACATGCTTCTCCACCGACTGATGCTTTTAGCTCTGAACTAATGCACCTCTGCATTTTTCATCTGACGTACATTACCAGCCACACATGATGCACCGCCGGAAACACCAACCCCAGTTTAGAAATGAGTGATTTTCTCATCTGGAAACCACTTCAGCATGCTCTTAAAGCATATTACCACCAATCAGCAATTAGCAAATGCAGTTCTATGAGTCCAAACATCTCATCAACAGCGAATAGGTAAACATTTTACAGTTAATGTGTAAATGACCCTAATAATAAGCCATTACAGCAATCAAATTATGTATATAATCCTCCAAAAACATTCAAATGCATCACAAGAACCCAATATTTCTCAAACTCTCCTTTTTTCCACTTGAATAAAGCACAACCTCAAATATCCCTAGGTGTTATCGCTCTAAACCAGATTCAATCCTCAAAGCCTTCAGAAGACTCTCAGTCGGAGTAAAAAATGCTCTCACAAGCCATACTGAGGACTGGCTGTATATCAAAGACGTAACACCAGACAAGATGACATCTGAGTGTGTTTCGCTTGTATTTGTGATATTAAAGGAACAACTGTTGACGTGTTTGATTGGCAGCTTACAAGCCACAACAGACACTGCTATATTCTGCCAATATTGCAAATGGATGTAAACCGGCATCAGCCAATAAACTGTCAGCTCTTCTTGTTCATTATGAAAGACTGTGGGAAACGTGATTTTGAGATTCGCTCTGAATGATTCATATGCTCAGTAGAATGCAAGTAAACAACTATAAAGCAGTTTTTGAACGAACTCCTGCTCACTATGAAGGGAATACTCCGTTGTGCACTAACAGCAGTATGAATGGCCGTTTGTAATGGGAATTCTTGGGAAGTTCACATGAGGCTCCTGGAAACTTCTGAAATCACCGGGTTGTGGGTTTGCCAAGGAAACAGAAAGGACTCTGGGAAACATGCTTTTGCAAAAACAAAAAACAAATCTATACTTTTTTTTTTCAATATAATAATAAAAAAGTTGTTTCATTTCAGTATAGCACAGTCTCTAGTGTGTATGATTTACAGGACATCAATTACACTTGCTTTGCCTTTTTAAGTTTCATGTAGTTAAAATAGTAGACATGGGAAAAAAAATCTAATTTTTGTGACTAGCAATGTTTCTTCTACTATAATCTGTTTTGTTCTATTCTATTCTACAATTCTTTTTACTGTTTTCTGCACACATATTGGATGTCAATCTATCTTTTTTATTTTTGACAATATTCTATTCTATTGTTCTATTCCATTCTAATATTCTATTATTTACTTTTCAATAACATAATATGTTGTCAATATTCTTTTCCGAAACACAACATGACATGAACAGATTTTTATTTTTATTTAATTTAGTTATTTTTATTAATGTATTTATTTATTTGCAATAGTCTAATTTATTCTACTCTTTTTCAATAATAACATTACTGGAGTTTTGACAATATTCTATTCTATATTGTTTTTTTATTCTTTTCAATAACATAACACAAAATAATATAACATACATGTTGACAATATTCTATCCAAAACATAACATGACATGAACAGTCTTTGCAAAAGTCTACTCTATTCAATAACATAACCAGATTTTTTTTTAACAATATTCTATACTTTATTATTATTTTCAAAAGCATAACGCAACATAATATAAATGCTGTCAATATTCTAATCCAAACATAACATGATATGAACAGATTTTTGCTCAGAAATAGACATTTATGAATAATATATCAGCAGATGCCTTCATCATCTGGTATGTCTCAGATTACCATTACTATTGCATACACCGGGAAATACAGATAATTACCAATAAAATGCATATTACAGGAACTTATATGAGCAATGTTCATTAATGACAATAAATAAAAAAAAAACTACATTTTATTTTACAGGCATCACAGGCAGACTTACACTATCTTCTAAGACAGTGGTTCCCAACCCTGGTCCTGGAGGCACCCCAACACTGCACATTTTGCATGTCTCCTTTCTCTGACACACCAATTTCAGGTCTTGGAGCAGGGCTGCCCAAACTCGGTCCTGGAGGGCCGGTGTCCTGCAGAGTTTAGCTCCAACCCCAATTAAACACACCTGAACAACGCAACATAATATAAATGCTGTCAATATTCTAATCCAAACATAACATGATATGAACAGATTTTTGCAATAGTCTATTGTATTCTACTCTTTTTGATAACCAGATTTTTTTTTGCAATGGTCTATTCTATTGTATTCTATTATTTCCCATAACACATCATATTATAACATATCTTGGCAATGATCTATACCATAACATGACAGGACATGACCAGATTTTTGCCAACATTAAATTCTATTGTTTTCTATTTTTTTTCCATAACATAACATAACGAAACATATTTCTTGGCAATATTCTATTCCATAATAACAAGACATGACCAGATTTTTGGCAACTCTCTTATTCTACTTTGTTGTTTTCAGTTGTTTTCCATTTAATTCTATTCTGTCCTATAACATAAAACCACAATAGGCCTTTGTTTCAAAAGGAGCGTCAGTGATTATAAGAGGAGAATGACCTGTACCTCCTGCAGCTGCTCCAGCTCCTGTCTGAGGGTCTCCTGATCGGCCTCGAGCTCCGCATACTGCTGCTTGAGGGTCTGGTTCTCCTCCAGGACCACCAGCCCGCACTCCGCCGCCCGGACCTTCTCCCGGTTCGCCTCCGCGAGCTCGCGCGTCAGCCGCGCCACCTCCGCCCGGTAATGATCCACCGGCTCCCCGCATCCTCCTCCACCTCCCCCAGCAGCCATCGGCCCGGCCCGTCCCCTCCACTGCGCTGGATGGACGGATGGATGGAGGCACCTGCACCTTACCCGAACCTCCAATACAAAGTGAATGATCCAGACATATTAACAACAAAAGACGAATGAATTGAAGTCCGAACTCATTTCGAGCTGAAAAGGGCCTCGCTTTCTTTCTTTCTTCCTCTTCTTTTTATGCTTGATCATGGGTGTTGGGACGCCATCATCACTAGGATGGAGAAATGTGGCCCAACTCACTTCGGCTCTCCTCCTGCTGTGACGTCAGCGCATCTTGCTGCAGCCCTTCCCGAAGACCGTGCTCATACATATGAATTAAGTAGCGCCGCCGTTGCTTAGTAACCTTCCTAATTAATATTCATAAGCAGTGAGATCGTCAGCGCCCGCATATTAATGCGCGCCTTTCAGCCTATCAAGTAGGGGAACGTCACATTGCGTCATTAATATTCATGAGTTTGCAGTAGGATTATTTATTTGTTCGCATTTATTCATTATTTATGATTTACTCATTTGTCATAGCTATTATAGGCTATACACTTATAATCAACAATAGGTCATTTGGTTTGATTTAAACAATATTTCAGTCTGTGTGAGGAGTGATTCGCTAAAAATACCACAAGAGGGCAGAAGTGCTCTGAATACTGATAATATTTGCAAAACAATACTGCACATTAATTATATTATACGCATTCACATTTTTGCTCACGTACAGTTCGCCATATTTGCGTTTTTTGCTCCACAGAAATCCCTGATCCAACATTAGCGTATCTCGGCAAATATTGATTAATCCCCATCTATTGACCAATTAAATCCCGGATTTTCTGCCGTAGTCAGAAGGGCGCGCTGATAAGAGCGAGATAGTAGGGTTTCACTTCATTGCTTAGAGGCTGTAAACACAGATAAACACGAAGGTGAAAAGTTGAGCATTTAAAAGAGTAATGATGTCAAGGTAAGGCCACAAGCAGTAAAATAAACACGAGTGTGTGAAGGTGCACAACACATGAATCAGTATTTCTAGGGCCATTATTGGGACTATTTTTTCCGTTGTTAACGTGAGCATTTTATTATAACACATTATCATAAAAATGGCGTTGAACCAAAGCCGCTTTAATAATAAAACAGTCTCTTTTCGCCATTATGTATTAAACTTCAACGACCGATTCGCAAATGAATCATTCTTTCGAGTCGGATCTTTTCAGTGTTTTTGTTTTTGGAGATCCCAGCAAATTTTACAAACAGAAACAAAACACAGAAAATCTTTGTGCACATTAAACAGCTGCATAATTCGCATTGCTTTCGAGTTTTTACTTTTAGATATTGTTTCCAAATACATTTTAATGTACATTTTAAATCGTTCAAAGATAGGCCTTTTTCCATTCCATTTGACTTTATGAATAGGCCTGTAATAACAAGCAATTATAATAATTAAATCATAAATGCTACATTTTATTCACCATCCCATGAGAAACCTTAACATAACATCAGCTTCTGCAAACTACATTTTAAATTGTACAAAAAAAAGTACTTTAGGAGATTCTCAAAATAAAATACTAATTACGAATTGTTTGATCCGGTTCAAAGAACCAATATGAAAGATTCGATTACGAATCAGACTGAATGATTCGTTCACGAATTGAACTGTATCTTTTGAGTGAACAACTGACTCACTGAAGCAACAACGGACTCGTTCGATTCGTAATGAGCCAAGAAGCGATGAAGCATTTGGAGTGAACCGAGGACTTCAATGTGCTGAATCATTGCTGAAACAAAGTGAACTGCCACACAATAAATGACAATAAATACCTTTATTAAGATCTTTTCAGTGTTTTTGTTTTTGGAGATCCCAGCAAATTTTACAAACAGAAACAAAACACAGAAAATCTTTGTGCACATTAAACAGCTGCATAATTCGCATTGCTTTCGAGTTTTTACTTTTAGATATTGTTTCCAAATACATTTTAATGTACATTTTAAATCGTTCAAAGATAGGCCTTTTTCCATTCCATTTGACTTTATGAATAGGCCTATAATAACAAGCAATTATAATAATTAAATCATAAATGCTACATTTTATTCACCATCCCATGAGAAACCTTAACATAACATCAGCTTCTGCAAACTAAATTTTAAATTGTAAGTAATTTTTTTCTATTTACAAAAAAAAAAAAGAAGTACTTTAGGAGATTCTCAAAATAAAATACTAATATATGTATTGTTTGATCCGGTTCAAAGAACCAATATGAAAGATTCGATTACGAATCAGACTGAATGATTCGTTCACGAATTGAACTGTATCTTTTGAGTGAACAACTGACTCACTGAAGCAAGAACGGACTCGTTCGATTCGTAATGAGCCAAGAAGCGATGAAGCATTTGGAGTGAACCGGGGACTTAAATGTGCTGAATCATTGCTGAAATAAAGTGAACTGCCACACAATAAATGACAATAAATACCTTTATTAAAAACGACTTAACTCGTCAATGCCATCGCGTAATTGACCAAATCATGATGTTAGAGACCACGTGATTTAAAAGAATCAAAGAATCACTTTTGAACGAACCTTTTTTCTACTCTCGAGTCTCTTGACTATTTTGACCATATCTTTCTATGGCATAAATAGTAAGAGCTAGTTCTGACATAACTTTGTTGATTTACTGTGATAAATGTCATCTTTACAATCAGAGTCCCTCAAATTCCACATAATAAAAATACATGTGTACAATTTGTATATTCAGAAAATGTTCTAGCTCAGATAAATTTTCATGTTCACCATTTAGTGCAAAGTCACTTTGAATCAGCATGTCATAAATGATTACACACAAATGACATCCATCACAAAGTCCGATAAGAAGTTTTGTTTATTTGACCATTTTTGGAGTTCACTGTTCTGTGACATTTTGGATTAATGTGTCAAAAATGAGTTGATATACCAAAAAAAAAATGTATATATTTACACGAAACCAAATGATTCTTCAGAACAGTTTGTTAAATTAAAGTGCAATATCAGACAATACAGGAGACCGGGGCATGTTGTCACATAATAGTTGTCATGTCATTCATTTATTTCATGAATCAGCCCTGTTGCCCTCGGATAACTCGAGACTAGGGTTTGATTTTTGCTCTTATCTGTCGTCTGTTTTCCTTCAGCATTCAACATGCAGTCACCCTTGCGTTTGCCCTCTCTACCCGTCCTGACCTTCCTGTGAACTCAGTCAAATTAAGATAAGACCGAACTTTACGGCTTAAGAGCCAATAAACCAATTCAGTGATAATTAGAAATTTCATCAACAAAATTCATTTATGGCACCATATCCATTCAAGTTTACAAGTTCATCTCTTGGAGGGCGGCAATAACATCATGATGCCGCTTAATAGAACACTTGTTCTAAACATTAGTTAAATGCATATCTAGGTTGTTTAATTAACCCTAGACACATGCATAAGCTACAATTTCATGCCACTGGATGTGAAATTAAATTATAGATTTGTCAGAAAATACATAGATTCATTTGCGAGCCTGAATTTTCTCTTTTGCTCTTTTCTCAAGATGAAAACATGGTCATCTTCTAAGGACTGGAAATGATATTTCATCATTTGTCTTGTATGATTCTGGGAATCCATCAGTTCAGTCGGTGAGTGCTGTGTCACAACTGATATTATTTACTTAGTGGTTTTATCAGAGTTTTATTGTGATGGGATAAGGAAATTGATTTATTGCTTGACACACGTTCGTCACTTCACGTATGATTTCTGTTTTAAAATAAAAATAAGGCAATTCTTAAATATAAAACACATGATACAGTCATGTTTATATACACCAGTGCGGAAAAGCTGTTATTGATATAATACAAGACATGATATGTCCTTTTATTCCAGAGTCGATCCTCAATCTTCATTAGACTGAAGTTGAAAATGTCTCTTTTGTAGTGGCCCATGAAAGCGATGCGGTCAGAAGAATGAATGGTGTTGAAGTGTGGCATGTTCAGGAGAACCAATAGGAGGACAGACTGACTCCGGCAGCCAGGACTTCTGCTGAAAGCTCAGGTACTGCAATTGAAAACAGCCAATCCGAAACAGGATATTTAAATTCAGACACTTGCAAATTCATATTTTGCTTAAAACTGCAATGAAATGGAAGTAGCAATACATCTGTATATATTGCTCTGAATTGCTTGGTTTTTTGCGGAAAAAGTGCAGCAAATACAAAATTCTTGCTTAAATTGTATGTATATGTGAACCTGGAGCACAAAACCAGTCTTAAGTCGCTGGGGTATATTTGTAGCAATAGCCAAAAAAACATTGTATGGTCAAAATTATTGATTTTTCTTTTATGCCAAAAATCATTAGGATATTAAGTAAAGATCATGTTCTGTGAAGATATTTTCCAGATTTTCAAATAGTTGTATCTCGGCCAAATATTGTCCTATCCTAACAAACCATACATCAATGGAAAGCTTAATTATTTAAAAAAATTGACCCTTATGACTGGTTTTGTGGTCCAGGGTCATATATATATATATATATACACACACACACACACACACACACACACACAAACACATATGTATTGTATAAAGGTACAAATATTGATTATATTATATTATATTACATTAGATTACATTGTTACTTGTCAATATTTGTACCTTTATATAAATTAATCAATTTCAAAAAAAGCAATTTGTGTTTAGTTTCATCTAGTTTCATCAGCTAATCAAGATTGGAAAAAAAATTAATTAAAAAAATGAAACATTTATATGCTATCATATTGCTTTTTCTTTACAGTATTTTTGGGAACACTAGTCCAGTCATTTGGTTCTAAGATCTCAGCACACAGTTTGTGATGGAGGTGAATGAAAGTATTTACGGGAACATAGAGGACAGGAGTCAGGAGGTGTTTTGTATCTCGCAGCACTGTTAGCGGTCTGTGTGCTGCTTTAGCTTCACTGCGCCTCCACTTCGCCCGCCGGTTCTGGAACCAGATCTAAACAAACATGACACAAAAATATGATATAAAACCTTCACAAACTTTCATTAAACTGCAAAAATAAATAAATAAATAAATATAATAATAATAGCAATATTAATAATATTTATATTTATAATCACACACACACATATATTTATTTATTTATTTATAAAGGTATTGTATAGTATATTAAGGTATTATAAAGGTACAAATATTGCTATATTTTATTACACAAAAATATAAAATATTATATTTAAAAAGTTATATATATATAAATATATATATAGAGAGAGAGAGAGA